GTTAAGGTAATTAATGTTTCTATCTCCTTACTATTTTGTTTGGAGCCTCTGAACTCTTCTTCTAGTTATTCACAGAATATATAATAAGCTGCTGTGAACTTCAGTCACCTCATTAAGTTACAGAACACTAGAGTTCACTACTTTACCTGAGGTTTGATTCTTGTTATCTAACCTCCCTTTGATGTCTTTCCTCCTCACCCCCTTCTCACCCTCCAGTAATCATTATCGTGCATTCCAATAAACTTTTTTTAACACCTACATTTGAGAAAGGACATGTAGTATTTGTTTACTCTGCTGAATTATTTCACATAATGTAATGATCTCCAGTTTCTTCAGTTTTGCTTTGAATGATAGGATATCATTCTTTTTATGACTGAATAATATTTCATATATATCATTTTTTAAAAATCTACTTATGCATTGATTAGTACCTAGGTTGACTCTGTATCTTAACTATTGTGACCTGAGCAAGTATTAAATATGGGAGTACAGGTGTCTTTTTGATATGCTCATATCATTTTTTTTGGTATTTCAGAGCTTTGGAAGACTCACATGCCTGCATCATTCCCTACATAGCTCTTAAGTTTTTTACTGGTCTCTTGGTTTTGCAAGACTATCAGGCATCTGCAATTTAACCTTTCCTAGATTCATGGATAAGGCCAATGAACTTCTCTAAATTCCTTAAGCAGCATAAATTCTTCAAAATCTTAAGACTTTTAGGGTTATAATTCTGTTAGGAACACAATTTCTTTACTCAGCCAGGTAAAGGTAAGCAGCCACATGCAGGAATTGAAATAACCATGCACCACCAGTAGAAAGCAGGATGTTACATGCTTTTAAAAATAGTATTTGGAGAGGTTCTATAATGTTAACCATGAATTTACCATGTCAGCCCACAATTCCACTTCAATGTATTTATTCAGTGCAAACCTGTCTTCACACATAGACCTATATGTAAGTATGAAAAACAAATTTAACTGTAATCAGTAAAAGCTAGCAGTGAACATTCTGGATAGACCACTATCCAGATAGTGAATGCCAGTCAACAATATCAGTGACAACAATAACATCAGCAGAAACAACCTACTGAGAAGTGAAATAAGTGGATAAATCCCATGTATGCCTTCAGTTAGGTGAAAGAAAACAGACTCAAGATGGGAAGATTGTATGATTTCATTTATATGAAGGAAAATCATGTCAACAAAATCAATAGATTCTAGAAGCAAACTGTGGCAAAATGGTTCGATTACAAACTAACACATGAAGTTTTTGGACTGTTCTTTATTTTGCATATGACAGCACTTACACTATCATACACATTTGTTCAAACTCAGAATCGTACTGTAAATATGTGATTTTTACTGTCATTATCAGCTGAGAAAGCAAAAAAACCGAAAAACAAAAAACTAACAAGTCAGATACAAATTAAGGTACATGCCACAGGCATTTGAATCATTTCTTCCTAAGTTAGTGGAGCAAGAGCCTGTGATTCCCTGCATAGGGGACGTGTTCCCCTGAGATCTTTATGTCTCTACAGTGCCGTGCTGGCTCCCAGCTCTTGGTCTCTAAAATCCCTACCTGGTTCCTTGGCATCAGTTTAGCAGGGCCAGGCTGTGTCCAGAGGAAGAGCTTTTAAAATAGAGGACAGTCTAACCCAAACAGGATTTTCTGTGAGGTAGGGCATACTGACAGGGAAGACACCCCATCATAAAAATTACATGGAATGTGGTTAGCATTATGACTCTTTACTGAGCTGCATTATAGATGTTTTTATATTTACTATTCAGAGACATAGTTCTGTGAAATATACAGGCCTGTTTATGACATTATATTTATTTTACAATTTAAAACTAGAGAGGTTCAAATAAGGTAAGTAGCAATTAGAAGAGTGCTTTTGCCTAGCTCCTACAAGGGAGCTTTGTGAAGAGAATTTAAACCTTGTTCCCTGAAGGAGCTTTAGGTTACTAAAAATTCAGGCTCTCCAGCAGCTTCATTCAAGGAGTGAGGTAAGCTTTTACATCCCCAACTTTTAAAAAATGATAATTGTAATACATGTACAAGCAATAGGGGTGTTGGCATTATGAATTGTATGAGCTCAGCAAAAGATTCCACGAGCAGTTTTTGAAACAGAAGAAATTCCCATGGCAAAATGCATCCCTCAGAGGAAGTTCAGGAATAATTATGAATTACTGGGCTGTGTTCCTAGAGAAAATGGGAAAGACTGTAAGATAGATGGTGCTCTTATTGGGTAGGTGGCCTTTCATCCTTTGTACTATCTCTCCTTGTAATTGTGGAAGAAACTAATGAAACTAGTTTGAACTGCAGTTCCTTAGACGACAGAAGCATCCTTATGAATTTATTTGGAGTCATATTCTCTTTCAGTATCCTTACTCCATGATCGTACCCTTTTTATTATATCCAGAAAGGCAGGCAGAACAGTTGTTTATAGAACACCTTGGAAAGTCAATTGTGTCTGCACAGAAATTGACTCCTCTTCATAGGAGACAGCTAATTTCTGTTGTGAAATATACATGTTTAAATCTATAATTCTCCTATCAATGTCCACAGAACACAGCATATGCTATAAAATGTTATAGGTTATATTATCTTGTATGTTAGAAATTTGTGGACATAATGTTCATAGAGAATAGAATGCCACATGAGCTTGAAATATAACCAGAAGGAAGATTGGACAGAAATGCAGTTAGCAGAGAGTGGATATTGTACCACAGTTTCTGAATTCAATCTTTTTGGGTACTGGGGATTGAACCCAGGGCCATTGAGCAATAGTACATTGAGCTATAGTACATTCCCAACACTTATTTGCTTATTTTTTATTTTGAGAAAGTGTTCTCACTAAGTCACTAAGTTGTCTAGGCTGGATTCAAACTTGCTATCTTCCTGCCTCACCCTTTCAGAGTGCTGGGATTAAAGGTATGGACCATTGCACCCAGCTTTTCAAATTTAAAATTTAAAATATAAGCATGGAACCACAATCCTGTGAATTTTCAACTCTCCTCTCTGTCACTTAGCTAAAGGATAAGAGTAATGTGCATAAGAGTGAGATTTAGAACAGGAAACTCTTTCACATATGGATTGGAAGTAAAGTCAGGTTGAAAGTTTCCAGATCAGTGGAGGTGAACCTCTAGCACGCGTGCCACCACGGGCATTCAGAGCTCTTTCTGTTGGCAGGCGAGCCACGTTGCCCTGCAATGGCAAGCAAAAACACCAAAATGACACCTAGGATTTGGAAGCAGATTTATTTATGTTAATGGGTACTCACTGGTATCATTCCCAGAATATCAGTTCCTGGTCTCTGATGGTCTAGGGCTTTTATATGATGCACAAGAAGGAAGTACAAAGGAGGTGTAAAGGTGAGACAGAACAGCCTGGCAGTTCTTCTGATTAGCTAGCAGGTTGAGATTATCATCTACAAGGGTAGATCAATGATCACCCGTTTATGAAGCTTGATACAATGGTACAATCAGACATCCTGTATGTTCGGTTATGCTCTCACGGTTAAACGGTCAAGACAGTAATTACAAAACCATGAAGCAGTTACAGAGCTGGGCAGTTTCAAAAGAACAATATTTTAAACACAACAGTTTCTCTTGTACGGGTTTTCCTTTTCAGCCCCAGCCAAGGTTTGACAGATTATCAGTATGCATACAACAGCAAGGATCACATGAATTGTGCAAAAGCACACCAAATGCAAGCTTTTACCTTTCAGCAAAAAGCTGTTTGCATCATTGAATGATCGCCATTGTGCTTTTCTTTTAAGATAAAAGATGTTAATGTATAAGTTGTTTTTTCTACACTAAACCTTCAGTATTCAGGTTTAATTGTGGTGTTGGCACTTTGTGATAAATAAATGGGTTTGGGTTGCAGTTTGAGCCTTGGGTCTCTAAAAAGTTTGCCATCACACAGTGGCTGGAATCCCACTGGAAGGCAGAGAAGTCACTGAGTACCTCAGCAAGTGGGGAAGATAAAAGCCCACCAGACTTCAAATTGAGTTAGGTGCTGCATCTCACCACTCAGCTTCCAGTGCTAGGATGGAGGTCGTCATCCCTCCTCTTAATCCTTTCACAGAAAGCACTCATCAGAGTGTGCTGGGCACCTATGTTAGGCCATCTTTTTAAAACACATACTATAATTAAGTACTACAATACCCCTTTTGAGAGGTCTCATTATTATCTTCATTTTATTTTATTTTTTTAAGTCAATCACAAAGAAGTTGTGCTAGGGCCCATGTTTCCCAATTAGTAGAAGACGGAGTTATTCCTTAAATGCACAAGATACTCTTTCCAGACTCTCTGCTGTAACACATAGTCTCAAACCTTCTCTTCAGAAGTGCCTTGCTGGGTATTCCACTCTGCACTGATACTGCTATAACACTTCCTTTGTTTTGGCATGCATCTCTGTTACTTTTCTACATGCTCCAAAGCACTAAGCTCGGTCAAATGGATGCAGTGAGCAAATATGAACTGATCCAAGTTAAATCCAGTTACGCTTCTTCTGAGAGCACGAGCATCCGTCTGTGTGAGTGAAACACCTTGCCTCCCCCAGTGGATACTCAAATGTAAACCACAAAAAGTATTTAACCTCTTAGAGGTTTGTTGAAAAGATTAAGCTGTACACATATTAAACGTGTGTATTTGGAATGAACATTGTAAGTTTTTAATAGACTCAGGTGATCTGATTTGGGAGAAATTTATTGCAAATGCATAGCTTCAGACAAATAACCATCTTTCTAACCCCATTTGGTTCATTACACATGTGCCCTTTGGGTCATGCCAATGATAAGAACCCTTTAGCTTCAACAATATAACTATATAGATCATTTATTTCTTTTTTTTCTTGTTCAAATCTCTGCTCTAGATCAGAGGATTAAAGGGACAAAAAAGATGATGAATAGTAAAATATGTATATTTCAGGGCAATCTCTTTTCAATTACCAACTGTTTCTTTCTTTCTTACTACTGCAGAAGACTTGAATTTCCCATGGCTAATAGCACAGAGGTGAAAGACTTCATCCTGGATGGTCTAACCAGTGCTGCAGAGCTACAGATTCCCCTCTTTATCTTGTCCACCTTCATGTACCTCATCAGTGTTTTGGGGAACTTGGGGATGATCCTACTGATCCTCCTGGACTCTCGTCTGCACACCCCCATGTACTTTTTCCTTGGTAACCTTTCTTTGGCAGACTTTGGATACTCTTCAGCTGTCACTCCCAGCGTGATGGCTGGGCTTCTTACAAAAGACAAGATCATCTCTTACAATGCATGTGCTGCTCAAATGTTTTCTTTTGTAGTTTTTGTTTCTGTGGAAAATGCCACCTTGGCATTAATGGCTTATGATCGCTATGCGGCAGTGTGTAAACCCTTGCACTACACCACGGTCATGTCGAGGAGTGTGTGTGTGCATCTGGTTTTAGGCTCCTACTTCTGTGGTTTCCTGGATGCCTCTGTCCACACCGGAGGTACATTCAGTCTCTCCTTCTGTAAGGCCAATGTGGTCCACCACTTTTTCTGTGACGTTCCAGCAGTCAGGCTTCTTGCTTGTTCAGATAAACACATTATTGAGATGGTTCTTATTTTTGTTACCAGTTTCAATGTCTTTGGTGCTCTTCTAGTTGTACTGATTTCCTACCTGTTCATATTTATCACCATCTTGAAGATGCACTCAGCTAAGGGATATCAGAAGGCTCTGTCCACCTGTGCCTCCCACTTCACTGCAGTCTCCATCTTCTATGGGACAATCATCTTCATGTACATACAGCCCAGCTCCAGTCACTCCATGGACACAGACAAAATGGCGTCCGTGTTCTACACCATGGTCATCCCCATGCTGAATCCACTGGTCTACAGCCTGAGGAATAAGGAGGTCAAGAGTGCATTTAAAAAGATTTTTGAGAAGGCCAAATCATCTGTAGTATTGATGTTTTAATGCTATGTGATATCACAATAAACTAATTTTGGGTGTGTTTGATAATTTGCATTCACATTTTAATCCCCAAATTATATTTCTTTCCTGAAGTCATATTCTTATGGCTTTATTCTATTGTCTAATAAGAAAGTAATATCTGAATGATGTTTCAGTGATAGCATAGGATGTTTTGGGTTTTCTTGTCAAAAACCTTACTAAATCCATTTTAAAATGTTGATTTACATGCACATATTAATGGGATTCAGTGTGAATTTTCAGTACACGCATACAGGATTCACTGGTCAGATCCAGCTTCCCTTTATCTACTCTCTTCCAACCCTTTCTCATCCTCTAGGAATCACTATTCTATGTCTAGTATTCTATATTTTTAAAGCTTCCTTGTGAGCATGCACATGAGATACTTTTCTTTCTCTATTTCTTGTAACACAATATTTTCCAGCTTTATCCATTTTGCTGCAAATGACAGGATGTAATGATTCTTTGTGGATCAGTGTATTCCACTGCATGAATGTAATAATTTTTCATCCATTCATCTGTTGATGAGCACCCACATTGATTTCATATCTTACTTATTGTGGAGGATGGGAAAATTAGCCGGGGAGTGCAGGTGTCTTGTTGGTACACTGATTCCTTTTCCTTTGTCTCTTTACCCAGAAGATGGATTTCTGGGTCACATGGAAGCTCCACTTTGGGGTTAATGAATGTAGCCAAGTGGTAAGTGCTTGCTTAGCAAATACAGATTCTGAGTTCAGTCCCTAATACTACAAAATGAAAGAAGAAAAAGATGTACTTTTATTGAGGTAACTCTGTACTCTTGTTCAAAACCATTGTACTAGTTTACATTTCTACCAACAGTGTATGACAGCTCCTTTCTCTTTCTTTTTTCTTTTCTTTTTTTGTTTTTTTCCGGTACCAGGAATCCAACTCACGATGTTGCGCTTGCCAGGCAGGTGCTGTGCCGCTGAGCTAAATCACCAGCCCCTTCTCTTTTTTACTTTTATTTGTGGTTTTTAAATAGTAGCCATGTTTATTGGGGAGAGATCATATTTCACTGTATTAGATTTGCATTTTCCTGGTAGCTAATGATATTGATCATTTTTCATGTATTTCTTTCCATGTGTACTTATTTTGAAGATTGTCTAGATTATTTGCCATTTAAAAATTGCATTATTCTTTTGTTGTTAATTGGCCCATATGCATTTTTCCTATCACATGGCATTACAAACATGTTCAAAATAGCAATACAAATGATTCCATGAACAGAAGCCCAAGTATATATGTATGATCTGTGTGAGTGCTTGCATACATGGGGGTAGAAAGAATGATTCTTTGCAAGATAAGTATATCCATTAAAACTCTAAATAGCTGTGCAAAGAACTAAATGAAGAGTGGATTGTTTATAGTAAAATAATATAAAATTTTTCATTGGGTCGTTAGAACACAAATAATGTCTACCCTTATTTCTTTAGTTGAATAATTTCTAATACTTTTTTTAAAATTTTGAGACAGGGTCTCACTATGTAGTGTAGGTTGGCCTTGAACTCACCATGTAGCTCAGGCATACCTCAAACTTGCAGTGATCTTCCTGCTTCAGCTTCCTGAGTGCTTACAGGTGTGTACCTCCATGCCTGGCTCTTGTAATAGTCTTAAGAGAACCAAAATGTATTTTTTCAAATGTAAATCTAAATGAGATATAACTAGCCCATCTTAAGCAATATTTTTGTCTTGACAGAGTCCCTTTGGTAAGACCAACACGTTTGCATTACAGTTTAAAAAAATAAAAACTTAAATGGAGTTTAATGGAGAAAAAATAAAAGCATTTGCAATGTATTCATTATGACAACTAAGTTACATCCGGCTTAAGAACATACTGGTAATATTTTACTGATGTAGGGATTTTTTGCAAAAAGTGTAAACATTAGGTGCTCTTGGAAAATAAAGGAGGATAGTTATGTGAGATGATGGATATGTTAGTTTCCTTGATTATAGTAAACATTTCACTATGTAAATCTATGTCAAAATAACTTACTGTGCATCTTACTATATGCAATAAAAATATACAGCAAATGCCCACAGCATAGGTTTCTGCTTTCAGATGCTTTGGAATTGTTAATGCTGTGAATTTGCTCATAAAGTTGCTCGTCTTTGCTCCTGTCCCCTGCTTCTCCATCCTCATTCATCCTGGTGGAATACCACTTCACAGTAAAAAGGATTCCACTCTTGCTAATGACAGACACATTGATGGACCACAAACCCATTCTACTAAATGAAAGAAGCAGGGCTCAAAGACTGCCAGGGCCAAGTCTCTTTCAAAGGCCAAACAGCATGAACAGAAGGAGAGTGGTGTGGTCTCCAGCCGAGTGGTGGCGTAAGGGGTTGGCCACAGTCTTGGGCTTTTTATTGAGAGGAGGGGATGTTCCAAATCTTGTGTGTGGTAGTGGTCACATCACTATGCACCCGTGTCCAAATTCGTATAAATAAATGCTAAAAAGCATGGACCTCCCTGTTTGTCAGTTTTGCATTAGTTAGATGATAACTGAAAAACAAGCAATACAAAAGCGCATGTGCACAGGAACCTACACAGCGAGGTCCCTGCGGGCGGTTTAATTGCCTGTTACAGAGGAATGCAGGGTGAGAGCTGAGGGTGTTCTCTGCGAGGTGTCTCTGGAGAGCTCTGCTACCACCGGTTCCCTTGTGCTGGGCCCTCAAATCCCAACAGGACCACTCTGAGAATAAGAGATAGATTCAAGACTCCAGGATCTTGGCTCCAAGTTAGTGGTCCCTCTCTGTTTTCCTCTGGAAAACATGGAATCTTTTGACAAGTACCTATGGAGAAACTTCCCCAATAGGACGTTTGCGTTATTCCATTTCTGATTTTAGGCTCTCTACTTAGGACTGGTCATCCCTTCTCCTCCTGCAGCAAGGAGATCTTCTATATTCCACAGACACATCCAAGGAAGTCTTCAAAAGCTACTTATCAAGGTAGGACTAGCATATAAATAACTGGGCACATTTTTTTTTTTTACTGAAAAGCATAATTCATGCCAAAGCAGAGTGACAGCCACCATGTGCTACGTTGTCTGAACACCGGTATAGATGTTTTAAATATTTTTTGTAAAGTTTTAAGTTGAGTCTGGGGGTATAAATGTCAAAACTTCCAGTAGCTAGGGGTGGAAGTCAAAACTTCTAGTAGCGGGGAGTGCAGTGATCCTTAGGAAATATTATACTTCTTCCCTAAAGAAGATGACCAAAAATAAGACAGATGATGGTCTGGTTAAATTTTTTGATTGATTGATTGATTGAGTGGAGACAGAGTCTCTTATGTAGTCCTGACTGGCCTTGAACTCACTATGTACTCCAGGCTGGCCTCAAACTCATGGTAGTCCTCCTGCCCCTGCCTCCAGAGTGCTGGAATCACAGGCGTGCACATTACACCTGGCCCTAAGTTTTAACTTTATCTTTTTTACTGTCATTCTTCTACTGGAGGTGAAACAGACTGTCTATGTCTGTCTAGACATAGTAACAGTAGCATGAATTGATAGTTCTTTAAACTTCAAAGGTAACTAAGTGGATTAGCAAGATCTGAACTGCATTTTAACCTTTTCCCCATCACCACCCGTCACTAACACCTCCCACCATGCTAGCAGTGTGGGAGTGCGTGGCGTAGACTTTGACCAGTTCAAGCTGGTTTTCAGTCTCGAATCTCAGATGTTTCCTATGAGTTGCGAAGTTACAAAGTATCACCTAGCCTTTCAGCTCTCTAACTAACATAATCATAAGTAATAACACCCACCACACAAATTCATACTTTTACATCAAAAGCTCGTGACATTAGGTGCAGAACAATAGTTTCTAGAAGTGGTTGTGTATATTCAGGTTGGCAAGTGCAATGCTTTATGTGCTAAGCTTACAGACTGCAATGTGGAAAGATGGTAGAGGACAGTAGGGGAGTTGGCAGAGGACGGCTTTTCCAATTTAAAGTACTATTCCTACACAAGAACCAGTTCAAATGATAATTTTTCAAGTGGAGCTTTCCACTAACAGAGTTGCAGGCAGAAGGCAACCCGTGAACCACACACATCAAGTTCTAAGTAACTATATTCAGCCCAGGAGTGAAAATAATAAAATAAAGAATGAGTTTAAGAAGACTGTTTTAAGCCAGGCTGAAATATGGATTTCAAGAAAGAAATTAAACAGAAGCACTCACCAGAGTAGCTGATCGGATGGGTAGAATAGGGACAGCATGAGAACAGTAACGAGTCATCTCGGTGCTGCTCATGTGAGAGAAAAAGACAAGTGCAGACGAGGCTTCCAGGTTTACCCAGATACGAAACCATTCACATTTCCTGAGCAAGCATAGAGACTGATATTCCATCCCAATAGTACTAGCATGGCCAACACTCATCTGTCTGTGCTAAGCATGCAGTACCTTATTCCTAATTTTGAAATGTATTATTTTATTAGTTCTCAAAATAATACCTTGAGAGTAGGTCTCATTAGTAGTTGAACTCTGCAGAGGGAATAAATGGGGCTCAGAAACTTTGGGGTGAGACCAATGGTACCCAGGCGATAACAGTGGAGCTGTATGCATCTCCTCACATAGTGCAAACTCCGTGGCAGATTCTGCATCTTTCCTTAGAACTTTCTCTGATGGCTGAGCTCACCGCAGGGCCCCAGTCCTCCTAACCCAGAAGGGCTTCTGCTCTTCTTTAGTGTTGAAGGGGAGAGTCTTACAGGATGTAGTAATCTAGGTTGATCATTAATTTCTTTTCTTACGATTTTACCTATTTAAAAATATGTATGTATTATTTTATGGAAAAAAGGCAAAACAGAATTTCATAACAAATTAATAGGAGAATAGCAATAGTTAATACATTACATATTGTCATCTTCAAAGCAGTTACTCAGAATACAACATATGGGCATAAAAATTCTCCAATCAATATCAGCACAGACTTTCCTTTTCAATGAACTAAGAGATATTAATAGTACAGATAACTTGCATTTTTCTCCTTTTACATTCCTTCCTTTCCCTTTTCCACCCCAGTTTCTTTTTCCTTTTAAACAATTTTTTCCCCTTTTCACAATATCTATGGTACATTTTAGACCTTATTTACTCTTTTATTTTCTCACACCAGGGATACAATGTTTACACATGTAAGTTTGATTTATTCCACTTATGAGTATGGTCTCAAGTGTTATCTATTTACTTATAAAAGTTTCCAAGTTTATCCTTCTTTATGGCTGAGTTATTAGTATTCCATTGTATTACAAGACCACATCTTTTTATCCATTCCTCAGTTCATGGGAATTTGGGTTGTTTCCAAGACTTAGCTGTTACAAATTGTGCTGCTATAAACATACAAGTATATATATTGCTGTGGTATGGTGTTTTTAATTCTTCTGGGAAGATACCCAGAAGAGGAATAGCTGGGTCAAATGGGGCTGCTAATCCTAGCTTTTTTGAGGAATCTCCATACTGATTTCCACAGTGGTTGCACCAATCTGCACCCCCACCAACAGTGTAAAAGAGTTCATTTTACCCCTACAAATCCTTCAGCATTTGTTACTGGTTGATTTCTTGATGACAACCACTTTTTCTGGAGTGAAACGGAATCTCAATGTTGTTTTAACTTGCATCTCTCAAATGACTAGTGATATTGACCATTTTTTCATATATTCATTTGAAATTTGTATTTCTTCATCTAAGAAGTGTGTATTCATCTCAAATGCCCATTTTTGAATTGGGTCTTTAAATTTGAGGAGTCTGGGCTTTTTCAATTCTTTATATGCTCTAAATAGGAGCCGTTTGTCTGAGGGACAATTGTCTAAGATTTTTTCCCACCTGTGGGTTGTCTTTTCACTCTGTTGGTGATTTTTCTTGATGTGCAAAAGCTTCTTTTTTTTTTTTTTTTTTTTTTTTTTTTTTCCGGTACCTGGAATTGAACTCACGACTTTGCGCTTGCCAGGCAGGTGCTGTGCCACTGAGCTAAATCCCCAACCCCTAAAAGCTTCTTAATAACATGAGATTCCAGTCACTGATTCTCTGAACTATTTCCTGTGCAGTTTGGATTTTGTTTATGAACATTCTGTCAGGGGCCAAACATGCTCACTGGAAGAAAGACAGCCTCTTTAATAAATGGTGTTGGATAAACTGGCTCTCTACATGCCAAAGACTAAATCTAGTCTATCACTGTGCACTAAACTAAATTTAAAATGGATCAAAAAATCTAAGTGTTGAAACAGAAGCACTAAATCTATTGGAAGAGAAAGTAGGTAGAAACCTTGAAGACATAACTGTAGACAATTATTTTCTTGCTGGGGTTGAAAAGCTATGTTTGAAGCTCTGCTGGTCTTTAATGTTTCTCTTGGGAAATTGTAATTATTCTCATGGGTTTGCTCCTATAAGTCATTTGGTGCTTCTTCTAACAGCTTTTAATATTGTTTCTTTACTTTGTATTTCTGATATTTCAACTATGATGTGTTATGGAAGGATCTACTCTGGTCATGTGTATTTGGGGTTCTGGATGCCTCCTTTACCAGGGTATCCATCTCATTCTTCAGTTTTGTGAAAGTTTCTCTAATAATGTCAGCGACTGCATTTTTACACCATTGGCCTGTATCTCTACACCTTATTTTGGCCAATGACTCTCAAGTTATTTCTTTTAGATTTATCCAAAGACTTTTGAACCAGCCATTCAGTACTTCTTGTTCTGTTTTTCTTTGATGCTGTCTGCATGTTCTAGCACTTCCATGCTGCCTTGAGTTCTTTCTTCTGACCAATCATTTCTATGCCTAGACTTTTGCTTCAGTTTTTATGATCTCTGCCTGCTTTTTTCCCAAATATCACTGTCTTTGCTGATGTGGTCCTTCAAATTTGCACAGCCTTCCTTAATTCATTCAACTAAGTATTTGTCTGTTCTTTGATTTCAATGATTATTCTAGTGACTGAGTAGGTCAACTGCTCACATGGCTCTTCTTTGATGTTATTAATCATTTTAACTATCAGTTTTAAAATTCTTTGTCTGGAGTTTCATCTACTTCAGTACCTGTGGCTTCAACTTTTGGAGACTTTTCGTATTTTTGGAGGCCTCTGGTCCATGGCTCCTGGAGCCTCCATGAATGGGGAGCTCTCTCCTGTTATTTTCTCCAACTCTTACCATGTCTGGGCTGGCACTGAGGGCGGTGTGGGCCGGGGTGAGCACCGTACGGCATCCCTGCTCTTGGCTTCTTCCCTAAAGGACTTTGTGTGTCTCACAGAATAGCTTGGTCTCTAGAGTGGCGGTGGCAGGTGCTATGGATGAGGAAACCCTTCCCTGTTAGTACAGCAGGCTCTGGGCTATGTCCTCATGGGAGAACCCTGTGATTCAGATAACTCCTAGGATTATTTTATTAGTTCTCAAAATAATACCTTGTGAGCAGGTCTTATGAGTATTTTCACTCTGCAGATGGAAGCAATGAGGCTATGGGATAAATGGTATCTTGGGTGAGGCTGCTTCCCTGGAAAGCTTCGGTGCATTTCATGCATGGTTCAGTCTCCAAACCTGTGCCAGGAGCAGTGCCTGGGCTTGTGGGAGCTTCTACTTCTTATTCAACCTTCCCCTTCTTTATTTCATCTGTTTGCTCTTCTGTTTCAGTTGTGTGCCAGTGGCTGCTGTGTCCACCTCTTCGTGTAGTCACGCCCTGCCTGACCTTAGTCACAGCTTGGAGCCATCTGTAAATGCTGCTTCCTTTCTGCTGCCGCCATGATCCAGAGTCTCCACAAAGCATATGAAAGGTTATGGTGAACTATAGTCACGCTACTGTGCTGTGGGACATTGCAGTTTACCCCTCTTGACTGTGCTTTGGGTTCTGTCTACCCAATCACTCTTTATATGCTCTTTCCTCTCCCTCTTGGTCTCAAGTAATCACAATTCTACACTAAGATCAAAGCCTTTAGCTTCCATATATGAGTAAGATCATGGGGTATTTATGTTTTTATGTCTGGTTTACTTTACTCAGTGTAATATTTTAGATTCTGCCTGTTTTTCTGTAAAGGACTTTTCCTTTGGCTCCATGCTCATATGTAGGAGTGCTAAATTACATGAAAGACCCAGTTTTAACTTTCTGAGCCTCTTTCATGCTGTTCTTCATAATGGACACATTAACTTACTCTCCAATCAACAATGTATGAGCTCCTTTTTCTTAACATCATTACCAGCATTTTTTTTTTATAATAGCCATTCTAATGAGGGTCCAATGAAATCTCACTGTGGTTGAGTTGTCTCAGTATCTTTTTGTGTCTTCCTCCTGTTACTTCTCATTGCTATAGGACATCTCACGATCTCCAGCTCACTGATGGGGAACTGTACAGACGTGACACAGTTCATCCTCCTGGGACTAACTGATGCCCCAGAACTGCAGGCCCCTCTCTTTATCGTGTTCAGTCTCATTTACCTCTTCAATGTGGTTGGAAACCTAGGAATGGTGGTGCTGATCCTCATGGACCCTAGTCTGCACACTCCCATGTACTTCTTCCTTAGCAACCTGTCTCTGGTGGACATTGGATACTCCTCAGCTGTCAACCCCACAGTCATGGCGGAGCTCCTTGCGGGGTACAAGGTCATGTCCTACAATGCCTGTGCTGCTCAGATGTTCTTCTTTGTATCCTTTGCCACCGTGGAAAATTACCTCTTGGCTTCAATGGCCTATGACCGCTATGCCGCGGTGTGCAAGCCCTTACATTACACCAGCACAATGACCACAAGTGTGTGTGCTTATCTGGCCACAGGCTCCTATGTTTGTGGTTTCCTGAATGCCATTTTTCACATTGGAGCCATATTCAGTCTCTCGTTTGGTAAATCCAATGTGGTCCATCATTTTTTCTGTGATGTTCCAGCAGTCATGGCTCTGTCTTGCTCTGATACACATCGTAGTGAAGTGATTCTGGTTTTTATGTCAAGTTTTAATGTCCTTTTTGCTCTTCTGATTATCTCGATCTCCTATCTGTTCATATTTATCACCATCTTGAAGATGCACTCAGCTCAGGGACACCAGAAGGCTCTGTCCACCTGTGCCTCCCACCTCACCGCAGTCTCCATCTTCTATGGGGCCGTCATCTTCATGTACCTGCAGCCCAGCTCCAGTCACTCCATGGACACGGACAAGACGGCGTCCATTTTCTACACCATGGTCATCCCCATGCTGAATCCACTGGTCTACAGCCTGAGGAACAAGGAGGTCAAGAGTGCCTTGAAGAAAGCAATTGAGAAAGCAAAAATTTCTACCTAAAGCTGGCATGTTAGCTTTGTATTGTGCATAACAATTTTAATCCATTGCTCTCAGACCTTCATGCAATGAGTTATATTTAGGCTTTGCAATGCACAAAAATTTCAAAATAAATATTCTTACACCTTTGGAAATCTGTCATCTAAGAAAAAGAAAACATTCCAGAAATGTATTACCTACACAGGGAGGCTGACATGAGTTGTTTGAAGTGTTGGGACTTTCTTGTCAAATTTTCATAATGAAACTTGGCTTATTTTTGTTCCATTTATATTTTCCCTATCAAATTTCAAAACAAGCATATAAGTTAAACAGGGAACAGAAACACAAATGTGCCCCTCGTGGGCACATATGCTTTGCAGTGGGAAATTCGTCAATAATAAATGGAATGTACTAGTTTTTAATAAAAATAATCTAAACAATTGATTGGATTTTATATACCTGTTTTTATTTTCTAAATAAACATTATTTTCAGAGCAGTTTTAGGTTCACAGAGAAGTTGACATGAAGGTACAGATATCTCACACATATGCTCTGCCTCTGCATACACGTAGGTTCTCCCACTAGCAATGCCCTGCTCACACACACTGGTATATCGAGGCGCGTCATCCCAAGGCTTCCATCTACACTGGCATTCACTACTGGTGCTGTACATTCTGTCCATTTAGACAAATGCACTAGGCATGGTTAAAATGTAGGGAATGTTTAAAAGTTTTTATTAAAGACACATAGTTACACATCCCCCTCAGAACACCCCTCACTGCAGACACATGTAGCCCATCTTTCTTGCCACTTTCTGCAGCAGTTCTGCGCATGCTCTTTCATGAGTGTTTTTACTTGTGCTGTTGTGGATGCTTCAGTGTCCTAAATCCATTCCGAATGTTTCCCTTCTGTAGTCATTTTTAGTTTCAGGAAGAGCCAGAAGTTGCACAGTGCTAGGCCTGGTGAACAAGGTGAATGAGGACACACCATGACGTTTTTATCAGGCAGATGTTCTGTAAAAACTTTTCATCATTTTGAGTCAACTCAGAACATCAAGGCAGCCATGAAAAAGAGAACGAGTTAGGATGTTCTGCACTGCTTCAGAAAATGCCAAGAATAATGGGATAAATATTCTAAACAAGGGGAAGTATTCTGGGGAGGATTAATAGAAATGTGTTTTTTACTATAAATACTTTTTAAAAATTTAAACATTCAGTACATGTTTAGGATCCCACCTCATAAGATGTGTACCTCATTGTAGTACCATTTAGTCTCACTTCTCTAGAACCTTGGGCATTTTTCCTATTCATTGCTTCCTCTCTCTTACTCCTGGCTAACAACTGAAGTTTCCTGTTCCAGTTTTGCCTTTTCCAGAATACTGTATAGTTGGAATCAAACGGTAGTGGCCTGATTTCACATTGCGTTCTTTCTCTTAGTAATATGCATTTGTTTCTTCTGTGGCTTTTCATAGCTTAACAATAGCTCACTGACTTTTAGCTCTTAATAATTTTACATTGTCTGGGTACCACATGTTGTCTGTTCAACCACTGAAGGAAGTTTTGGTTGATTCCATGTATCGACAATTGTGAATAAAGCTTTCATAAACATCTACGTTTTAACTTTTTTTCTTCAACATCACTGGATTTTCTACACATTTACACTGTTGAATTTTCACCCTACACTTGTACTTTGAATGTAGATGTTCCTCAATGCCTCACCCAGGGTTGCTTCTGTTGTTTCTATTGAATGTTTTATCACAGAAATAACAAGCAAAAAACTAAACACTTTTTCTTTTTCTTTTTTTTTTATTTTAAAGATAAAAGGAGGGAAACATTAACAGACATACAACATTTTACAACATATCACAAGCACAATACAGACAGTACAGAGTTACAAACAAAGTGGTAGGGAATTAACAATGGTGGTTGTATTACATATTGATATCTTCAAAGTGGCTTCTCATGAAAACAGATATAGACATGCAGTACTGGTCAACCAAAGACTCATTGACAGTTTCTTTCAGCACAGAAATAGAAGACAGAAGAACAACCATGTTAACTATCCTGTATATACATACATACAAAATTTCTCCTTCTTTCCCTTCTCTTTTCCTACATCCCAGAAGCCCTTCACTCTTCAGTGGTTTCCTATCATTTCACAGTGTCTATCATACCTCCGAGTTTAAATTAACTCTTTCAAGTTTTACACTAGTGACACAATGCGGTGCTTGCACATGTATGTTTGATTTATTTCACTTATGAGTATGGTCTCTAGTTGTGACCATTTAAATATAAAGGCCTCGAGTTTATCTTTCTTTACAGCTGAGTAATATTCCATTATATAAAAGTACCACAATTTTCTTATCCAATTCTCGGTGGATGGACATTTGGGTTGCTTCCACATTTTAGCAATTACAAATTGTGCTGCTATGAACATAGGTGCACATATATCACTGTGATATGATAAAAAACTAAACACTTATAGTTGTTGGATTATCTGGTAATTCTATTGTTAGATTTTTGAGGAGATACCTTATAGTGTTCCACAGCAGTTGTGCCATTCCCACCAACACCAGCATCTCAAGGGTCTGATTTCTCTGAATCCTCACCAATCTTGGTTACTTTTAAAAAATAATATGTATCATAGGTATGAAATTATAGCTGTTTATGGATTGGTTTGCATTTCCCTCATGATTAGAGTTGCAGAATATCTTTCTCTAAACCTATTTTCCATTTGTTGTCATCTCTGAAGAAATGTTCATTTTAGTCTTTGCTTATTTTGAAATTGTGTTATTTGTTCTTATAGAGTTGTAGGATTTCCTTATATACTTTGGTTATTAACCCCTTATCATATATATGGCTTGCAAATGTTTTCTCCCATTTAATGGATTGCTTCTGTACCGGTTGCTTCCTTCCCATACTAAAGCTTTTTAGTCTGAATAATCTCACTTGTTTAATTTTTTTTTTTTTTTTTTTTTTTTTTTTTGGTTTTTCTCCGGTACCGGAACCGAACTCACGACCTTGCGCTTGCCAGGCAGGCGCTTTTGCCGCTGAGCTAAATCCCCAGCCCCTCACTTGTTTAGTTTTTGTCTGTTTCTTGTGCTTGTTGTTTTGGACCTAAAGAAATCATTTGCAAGCCCAATGACATGTCCTTCCTCTGTGTTTCCTCAACTTTGATGAAATCTAGTTTATCTTTTTTTTTTCTTTTGGTGTCAAATCCAAGAAGTCCAAGGTCATATTTTCTTCTAATTGTCTCACAGTTTTAAAGTAGAATTTATGTTAACACATTTTGAATTGATGTTCATTTTTGGCATAAAGTAGGGATCAAATATCACACTTTTATATATGCATATCCAATTGTTGCAATATCATTTTCTGAAAAAACTGTTCTTTCTCCATTATATGGACTTGGTATCCAGGTCAAAAATCATCTCATTAGAGATGTGTGATTTTTTTAGGTTCTTTCTTTTATTCCATTACTGCTTATATAGTTAAAATATAATACTGCATTTGTACGTGCAATAAATTTTGAAATTGGAATACAAATTCTTCTACTTAATTATTATTATGTTCAAGATTATCTTGACTTCAGGCCACCTTGAAATTCCATACGAATTTCTGCAGTTTTTTATTTTTCTGCATACAGGTCATTGGGACTCTGATAGAGATCTCATTAAATTTTTAGATCACCATAAAGTATTGCCTTTTAAAAAGATTAGTCTTAAAATTCATGATCAGAGAATGTCTTTACGTTTATTTGGATTTCTGCGGAGAAGGACATTCTTTAGTTACTATTTTGTGTATTGCCTGAGGCCTGCCCAAGCCACAATTGCTGGGTTCTGGAGGAAGTCTAGCACAAGCATTGTAAGCCCTCCGGATCAATACTAGATGCTTTGCTGAGATATGGGCCAAGGAAGATAACATGATGGCTTATTGGTCGGGTCACATTCCTATGATAATTGAGTTGTATTGTCCCTGCTAAAACAGTTGATATTCTCCCATTCCTCTGCTGCCTCCTGGGTTGATTCTGAATAAAAAGTTATTGAGGACAGTAATCTGGAGTCAGTCAGTCCTAGAGGCTGCTAGCACCTGATCACAGGATTTCGGCTCTCTTGGTTTGATTTTTTCTTACTTTTCTTATACATCTGTGGGCACCTAGTTCGGGGGGTCTGTACACCCTGGACAGAGTTGGATAAGAAGTCTGACAGATTTCTTTTAATTTCAGCAAATTTTTGAGTTTCTAAGTATAGAACTTGTATACCCTTGGTTAAATTTAATGTTATTTGGATACTACTGTAAATGGAATTATTTTCTTAAGTTTTAGATTTTAATTACTCATATATAGACGTATGGCTGATTTTGTTTGGTGATCTTGAACCACTTTGATGTGTAAGTACTCTAGCGAATGGATGTTTTATGCATCCTTTATGATTTGTTTTATGTAAGATCATATCATCTGAAAACATAGTTTTAGTTCTTTTCCAATTTGGATAGATTTTGTTTCTTTTTTCATGACTAATTACTCTATGTAGAGCAACAGGTATAATTTTAAACATGGAGGTGAAATTAGAAGTACTTATTTTCTACCTGTTTTAGGTAGATTTCAGTCTTTCACTTTTGAATATTACTTGTGGGTTTTTTAAAACAACAGATTCTTTTTTTCACTTCTATCTGTAGTTATGTATGCATCTTGCGTTTTGTACTTTATTTTGTGTGGTGCTGGGGATCAAACTAAGGCATATATTAGAAAAGCACTCTATTACTCAACCACCCCCTAGCCATTTGTCTTTAGAGTATGTATGTAAAATTTTTATGAATACCTTCTGGTTTAATGAGAGGATACTCTGGTTTTCTTTCTCTCCATCATTCTTTTAAAGTGGTTTGGTATAGAGCTACCTCAGCAACACTGAAGAATTGAAAGTTTCAGCCTCCGTTCTCCTGCAGAAAGGCTGATTTAACAACGACATATGTATGAGAATTCCATAACTGAGTTACGAAATTGCAGAATCTAGATGAGCACAAATC